GACAAAGATACAAACATGTATCAAATAAATCTGCTCACCTGCAATTTATAATGGCGCATTGTAGTCACCTTCGTGCACGAAAGTTCGTTCAATCTCAGCTGTTAGTTATTAGTTAGTCAGTTATGTCAGTTATTGATGGTTTTATATGCTCCTGAAATTAAGTGCTGCTTGACGAGCCTATACAGTATTGTGTTCATAATTTGTGACGTCACTGAAGGCCTAAGGTTGAAATGCACGGCCCGCCACTGTATTGGGAACATGCACATAAGGAAACTGTGGCCTAAAGGTGTGGATGTGACCTCGTAGGAGGTCACGCAGACCAGGTACAACCTTGAGATATGCAGGGATTTAAACCTAGCAGAACTTGGATTTCATCGAATTGATGTCATTCATCGCATACAAGCTAAGGCTGGGATTCTAACTGTTAAGGAAAACTTTTTCAAAGTAGATATCCAAACATATTTTGCATTTTATGACCAGACAGGGAAGCATAAACTGTGGACTGGTCACGAAAGCTGTCAATTTGTCGCACAAAAATGTTATATATAGGGAAGGATTTACAGCTCTATTCCGTAGAGACAAACGGCATTTAGCAAGTTGGGATGCGATCTCACATCCCTTATGATAATAACAATCCTGATATTAGGTTTCCGGAATAATCTGGATAGGGGTGGATCTCACAAACGTAGAAAACGATAAGATCTTTTGCACAAAAAAGGTCATTGACAAGACAAAAACGGAAGTACAGCAAACTACACTGGTGACAAAGAAACAGGACAAAACGAGACAAACCAAAAACGCTTGCAAAAGGCAAGGAGCGAGAAAAATATATATATATATATATATATATATATATATAAAAAGATTTTTTTTTTTTTTTTTTAATGACATCATTGCCTCATTTGCAAAGTTGCACATTTTGCACAGAGAGAGCTCGGTGCGTGAGAAACAGTTGTTGCACAAAACATGTTTTTTAAATAGAACCGTTGCTATTTTCTCTCAAATGCATATTTGTATTTCTCGGAAATTGTAGGCAATTCTTCTGTCACATCATTTAGCCTTTTCCCATTTCGGAAGACGCTCTTGAAAGACGTTTGTTTTTCCCTCATGTTTGCCAGCTTCTTGGCAAACTTTTTTTTAACTCCACAAACGAGTGGATTAATGTGTGTTTAAGCACAGGTTAAGGCACTTGCCTTTTTCTTTGTTTTTCTTTAGGATACTTCTTTCAAACGTTGATAATCAAGAGAATGTCTTTGTTTTGTCTCTCTGTATCATTAAATGTCCCCAGGACTGGTACTGCCCATAGCCTAGTGGTTAGCAAGATAGAAATCTGATCGTGACTCTTTAGGGCACTTTGATCTTAAATTTGGCAATGCAGAAATATGGCAAGACGAGTTTGAGATGAAGATACAGTGCCTGGTGTTTTCTTTTCTGTATGTATGCAGAAATATCTGTAGAGCCAAGCAACGCGGTCTCATCTTCTGCCAAGCTGTTAGCCTAACTTTCTGCTGAATTGAAGTAATGCATGCAGTTTGTGCGTCATTGTTATTTATGTGACAGGAATTAGGCCACTGAGAAAAGTTCCATTCTCCCCTATATTGCAATATGAAGCTCAATAGGCATTAGGCTTGCAAACATTTACATTTCCACTTTTGGTTCAAACTTCTCAGTATTACCAGTACACAACTTTTTGGGGAAAGCAAAACAGATTTTGGTCCGACAGTGCAAAGCAATAGCTGGCCATGTAAAAACAAAAGAAACTGAAAAAAGAAAAAGAAAAAAAAAAGAAAGAAAAAAGAAGAAGAAGCAGACTGAGAGAAGAAAATATGACAACACGTTATTATTATAATTATAGACCCACAGCAGATGGATATTGAGCTGTTCAATGGCTCAAGAAATGTTCATTTTCCAGGAAAACAATCTGCAGTTTGGCTCGCTGGTGATTCCATCGGGAGGCGATTGTGTGCAATGCACATTCTCTAAGTGCTTTCTGTGTTTTGTTGTGATTCTGACTTTGCCTTGTTAATTTTACTCCATACATCACAGGGTGGAAGAGCGAGTTACAAGTAACCTAATCTTTCGCACTAGTGTGCCTGTGCTTTATGTCCTCACTTGTCTCAGCTACTGCAAGTTGTGGAAATTTAAAGTGGTCACAGAAAGTTGTTTCGATCTCAACTACATTTAAACATCTATTTTTCCATCATTACCTTTGCCTTTTTGCTCTTGAGTGATAAAAGTCGACATTTACTGAAAAACATGAAGAGATTTTAATTTGATGGATGATGATCAAGTATGACCTTTTGGTACAGCTGCCTTTGGAAGCAAAGAAATTAGGGAAAGTGCTGTGAAACTGAGTTCAGGCCAATGGATAGATGTTATGTACCGTATTTCCCGGACTATAAATCGCTCCTGAGTATAAGTCGCACCAGCCATAAAATGCATAATAAAGTAAAAAAAACAAAAAAACAAATATAAGTCGCACCGGCGTATAAGTTAAATTTATTTTATAAAATCCAACACCAAGAACAGACATGACATCTTGAGAGGCAAATAAAAATAAAATAGAGAACAATAGACTCAATAAGTGTCCAATATGCTAATGTAGTGCCCTCAGGATGCAGCATGAGTGACGACACGAAGTCCAAATGAGAATACAGGGTATAATTCCTGGCAATCCGTGAGAACTGGGCCCACGAACATGAAACATACAAGCAAGTGACATTGCAAACCAAATAAAAGACAAAACCATGAAGACAATTGATTTAACATAAAATAAGAAAAGATAACCTTTATCAGTCCAACACTGGGGAAATTTGCAGTCTACAGTAGCAAGGTGTGGGGGGGGGGGGGGGGCGTGTGTGTTTCCAGGAGAGAGGGGGGGGGGGGGGGGGGGGGGTAAGTGTTTCACTGCACAAAATAAATGTTTCAGAAGAACTGTACACAGTTCAATATAAGTGCAATATAAATAAAGCATTAGCAATATATTTGTAGAAAATAATAAATAATAAATAGCAATAGCATAGAAAACACAGCGTAAGGTGGCTGTGCTATTTACAATGGTTACAGGTTTCATACGCGTTAAATACACACAAACCTCGTGGGCTCACACCCATAAGGGGCTAAACCTTTGCCTAAATCCTGTTTGTCTTCTTCTCTCTTCGTATAGTTGGTTCTCGGCACTCTCTTCATCTAACAAAATGGCTATACAGAGCTAATAAAACATATCCTTTAAGGTGCGCTAGTAAATGTGCACGGCAACTAGGGTCGGGTCGAACATTTCTACTGATAACAACAATCGCCACTAGATGGCATCAGAGCACCAAAGGTTCAACTGCTTAATATGAAATATACTGTATATATACTGTATATATACAGTAGACAGTAACACTAACGTTACATGACGCATAAACAACAAACTGAAAACGTGCCTGGAATGTTAATGTAACATATTAAGAGTTATTCAGATAACTATAGCGTAAAGAACATGCTAACAAGTTTACCAAACCATCAGTGTCACTCCAAATCACTAAATCCAATCAAATCTTTATCCACTGTGTCACTTTTAAACAACCCCACCAACTCCGGAGGTAGAAGATGCGATGCTTCCTCGTCTACATCGCTTAGGTCAGAGTCATCGCCAGGTGTTTTAATCACTTACTGCCAATTTGGAAAGTATCAACACAGGCCTGGAGCACCCCCTTACTGTGAAAATAATGTGAAATGATATCATGTGTTAATCATTTCACACAGAAGTTGCTCCAGAGTATAAATCTATCAAACTATGAAAAAAAAACTGATTTATAATCCAGAAAATATGGGAATTGTACCAGCAGCGTGGGTGAAGCTGAGCATTAATCAGACCCGGTTATTTAAACTTCAGAGCAATATCATCATTTAAGGCAGGCACCGTGTTGACAAATCAACCAAAACAGCTTTTAATCAAGGAATGAATCAACATTGAACATTTTGGGAATAGCTCGGGCAATGCCTCCCTCACAATGAGACGATTTGGGTTTGATCTCCATTGGAACATTTCTGTGTTCTCCCTGTGCTTGCGTGACGTACAAAACTCATGCGTATTTTGATAATTGACTCAAAATGTCATACAGGTGTGAATGTGAGTGTGAATGCTTCTTTGCCTTTTTGTGCCCCGCAATCGACTGGTGACCAGTCCGGGGTGTAGTCCACCTCTCCTACACAGTCAACTGTGATAGACTTCAGTTAAGAAGCGGTCTCGGAAATGGATGGATCGTAAGAGTTTGGGGAAATTCCATCTCAGTGCAGGTGCAGCATGTGTACTTCAGTAAATGAAGACAAACTGATATGAATCTCGATACGTCGTCATACCATGCTACATTTAAAGCAATTTCTGAAGGGCTTCGCTCCTATTTTGATGTTTTGATTTGGCAGCATTATATAGCCTCCAAACTGTACTGCCTTGAAACTAGCCAAGTCGCTCACTTTTAATTAATAGAAGAAGCATTCTTGGAGCTGGTACACAAATCCGAACTGGCGAAAAAGGCAGACCAAACTCCATATTTTCCTGCATTTTGAGCAAAACATCTTTGTTGCATTCTGACATATTGTATGACATTTTCTGACGGTCAACTTATTGTAGTGAAACATTGCCCTTAGTATAGCTTCTCTGTTTTAGTGTGTAACTATGCTATGTCCTCCAGGGAGCTCCTGGAGAACCAGGTCTGTCAATCATTGGACCCAGAGGACCTCCTGTAAGTGTCGTTCTCTTTTCTATTCTGTTGCCGATGCACATTTGTGTTTCATCCATTATATCAGTTATGCTTCAAACGGCTTTATGTTCCCATAAATTATCTGGCTATTATTTTCAAAAGCGGGATTATCATATTATCTGTGGGACAGGGCTGATGTTGCTTGATCCAGAGGGATCAAATGTGTGTTTTGTTCTGATGATGTAACTGAGTGGCAATGCAATCAGACGACCCAAGTGTGAGCATGCAGTGACCTGCCTGAGTGTAAACAAACTTGTGACCAGCACTTCTGTGGATGTGTCTGACAAATCATACAAGAATGCATAATGCACCCTAAGTATTGACGGGGTGCCAGTAAAATATTTGAGTGATGATGATGATCATAATTCATTCAATGAATTGATTTCTACAATGGTTCAGAGGGACTGTCCCATGCTAGTGTCACACTTAGGAATGTTAACGGAGTGCCAAATTTGTCTGCCTGCGCCGTGATCAAATATACCCAAATCGGCTTACACCACCTGCACTGCATAATAGATCTCCTTTTAGCTAGCTATGATGCGCCCATTTTTACGCTGAACGCAGACTACTCTCTCTTACCAAATTGTTAGAGGAGTCGGAGGTGACCCAGTGGGCTTCTAATGTCAGTTCAACATTGACAGAAATAAAAATCCAATATTCACCATCAGAATGATGTCAAATTGATGTGACAGGACTACAAAGGAGGCAACTCTGATTGTAATTTATCAAAAACTTAATTTGAGTTCAAAAAGTTGCTGAGTTGATTAAAACCCACATTGTGATCATTAATCCACTTAACTCCAGTAACGTTTGGTTGACTTGCTAGTTTGAAAACATGCGATTATGTAATGCTGGTACAGGTATTCCTTAACTCCTCAAGCCTGATAACAGTCTTAAGTATGCGCCATGCAGAATTTGTCCCACAGCCTCAGGCTCCCTGACCAAGTCCAGAACATGGCCAAGAGGAAGAATGAGCAGCTTTCATAATTCTAGTGATCTGTTTCATTGTTGCCAGTTAAAGTTAAAAACCAAGGGAAGATAATGCAATTGTTGGAAAATGATATTTTGTCACAACTTTGACGTCTGTCATCAAATTAACACATAACTTGAAAGCAGGCACTGTTAATGTGTGCTGGGTAGGCTAAGCTCACACATTAAACCTAACTCGACCAAAGAGTGGATGTAAAGAAATAACCTTGTATGTATTGATTGTTGAATGCCTTAAAGTCAAGCCGGCAGATATCACATCAGACAAAAACACTAACCGCCTTGGATAGTCATATTGCTTTACCTGGACAAAGTAAGGCCCTTGTATTTCCTGGAAACCGGGATATGGAATTTAGGTTTATGTTGGCTGGACTGGGTTCTTTATTCAAAACTGGGGCAATGTGCCGCTAATGATAAAATGATTGTATGTAATTACAGACTGTGGAAACAGTAGAATTATTCAAGAGGTTTGACTGTGTAATTTGGCCGTGGTTCAAATGAGGCGAAGCAGCAACGAGACCAATCAGGGGTCAACGTCATTTTTCCAGACCTCTGCTCAAATTCAATATTCCTGTTGAGATTCCATTATTTTCCAATGAACTGCACGCTCATTTTGAGGAGTCGTATATGACATTACCTTTTTCTCTTCTTCCGAGCAAAACCAAAAGTCAAGACCTCCTTAAGTAGAACAGCCATCTGTTTTAATCATTGGTTCTTATTACAGTGTATACCTTTGTGTGCCCACTCTTGTAATGGTAATAGGCATCCCTAATGAATAACAGTCTACGAAGGAAGTTCCTTACTGTAGGAGCCAAGTCCAGAACATAGAGGCCTAGACATCCAGTAACACTTAGAAGTTGGTTTACCACAGGGATGAGGATATCATGAGGGAATGACAGTTGAGGCAAGTGTGTATAGTTTAATGTGAAATGGACTTTCCATGATACATTGAAATGTGTCTGACTGATAAGTCTGGACCTGGCATTTATTTTTTCACAAAAACAGCTTTCCGTGCCCGATTGTTTTCGTCAGCCTGTATGCTGTGTCTAATTTGAATTTGTAATTTGTAAATTTGAATCTCAAAGACCAAGTTATTTTTCTCTTCAGGGTCAGCCTGGAACAAGAGGATTTCCAGGGTTTCCAGTGAGTAGCACACATGAAAGAATAATAATAATTTAAATCGCACGAGATCCTCTCAGCTAAAGTAACCGCAATGTAGTAATGACGAACGTTTCATCAGACGGACCGACACAACACATTTTTAAAAATGTCAAAATATGAAATGCATATTTGTCTGTTCACATTTGCAATGTTATATTTATCATGAAAAGCTTTTTTTCTTCTTCTTTTTTAATTCCAGGGTCCAATTGGGCTGGATGGCAAGCATGTGAGTTTCTTTGAAGTCACTTATGCAAAACTTTCTGTGCCAAAAACCATAAATACCATTTCTGATCCAGAGGTTGTTTCAAAAAAAGGTATTTCCGGACGCTTGAGGTATATCTTAACTTATGACAGCACATAACCCATTGAGAACTCAATGTATGTAAAGTCATATTTTATGCAATGCATCCAGTGGAAAATTTGTTCATTACAACGCAAGGAACTTATTCCTAATTTTACTGTTCCCACAGGGACAGAATGGGCTCAAAGGTGACGTGGTAAGCATTCTTTGATAATTTAATTCTGTCTCAGTGTTGTAGTTGAAAAGCTATTCCACTGTTACTGGCAGATATAAAACTGTTATATTTGCTGTTTAGTTGAACTCTAACATGGGATTGCACTGCTCCTTGTTCTGTTCTTGTTAAGGTCAATTTAGCTCCCCCCCCCCTTTTTTTTTTTAACAAAGAGAAAAAATGAGTGATCGACTTATCTGACATGAGCAACGTGATTATACAGTGGGCATCAGAGAAATAGCATAGACCAGGTTTTCCCAACAATGATTGAGCAGAGACACCAATTTCACATACAATACAATACAATACATCTTGATTTATATAGCGCTTTCACAACAGCTGCAGCTGTAACAAAGCGCTTAACAAAACAATAATAAACATAACACTAACATAAAAACATATCACAGGACACACCGGCAAACAATAACGTCACAACAAAATACAAGTCTCACTACTTGCCAATATACTTAGAGTATATAGTATTATACTGTATATAGTTTAGTATAGTAGCATATAAAATATGGGTCTCTTGAATCGAACACAAAAGCTGATACCAGGGGCGTCACTAGGTTTGAAGAACAAGGGGGGCTTAGCCCCAAAGGCAACACAGCCCCTTTAGGGGGGTCCGGGGGCATGCTCCCCCGGGAGAAATTTTTTCGACATTCTGTTAAAAATCCATCAATTCCGTGCACTTTGAGAGCAAAATGAAGAGGCTATGAAGAACTACACACATCACATTAGTATCCTCTTTACTATGATGGGGCTTCCTCCCCTGGACTTTAACTGGACTAGATAATAGAAATTACAAAGAGTTCAAAAGTTCAATCTTGGTTGTTCAAGGGAATTAGAAGGATTCCCGATAACATAACCTATATGACAGTAGTCCTATATTCCTCTCTACCAAAATGTATTAATATATGCTTAGCAGTGGCGGGCCGTGCATTTCAACCTTAGGCCTTCAGTGACGTCACATACATACACATTTATCCAAAAGTGAACACTTGTTACAGTGCAGTTTCTGCTGTTACTGGAGATATTTTAGCGGACTATAGTCACTAGTTTTACCAGCATGGATGCATTGAATACTTAATTTACCTTTCTAAAAAACTGTCAGTTGTTGGGTTAGCATTTGATGCGGCGATGGTGACAGACACGTCAAATGCTAACGCAACACCTGTTGCGTTCAGGAAACCTGGGAGATTTAACATTACAAAAATGGCAGGTTATCGAAATATAATTTAAAATGGCCACATTACATTGAATTTGATGCAATATATTAGCAAAAGTACAGGAAAAATAAATAATACTTTTTTTAAATAATGCAAGGAAATTATTTAGGGGGGCTAAAGATATTTTTAGGGAGGCTGAAGCCTCCCTAAAATAGGCCTAATGACGCCCATGGCTGATACACTCACAGGTGGGCCATGACTTAGTCAGTTCTATGAAAGGCAACAAATGGTTACACAGGTTCATTTTATTTTCTGCCATTTATCGGAAGAAGCATGTACGGGCTTTGTTCTGCCTGCTACGAGACATTGCTGGGTTGATTTACGCCACATCCCTGATGGTCTCTCATGGCATGCTCGGTCAGCAATGCAAGTTAGAATCTGTTTTCAATTGCCTTATCTGGAAAAGTAAAGAGTAAAATTTTAAATCGTATCTCGTGTGACGCAGCACCCTGCTTGGGACTCACTTGTTTAAAAAGGTGCAAGCTTTTACCCACATTGTCTCTTCTCGGGGTGGATGAGTAGACTATATTCTGACTACTAAGACAATGCATCTTTTTTTATACTTGGTATGAATATGAAGCTAAAGCTTACTCGAGCTTGAGAGCGAATCCGTCAATCATATCAGTGTAAAAAAGTAACTATTTGTTATATCCACATCTTTATTTGCAGTTTTACCGGTCCACTTGTCTACGTCGCTACAATTGTTCCCTGAAAACAAAAGCCAGTAAATGTACCTCTATTTAACTGAGACCAAAATGTAAATGCAAAGTATGAACACCAGAAAAAAAAATAAAAGGAACTGAAAATATGTTTTTCTAATAAAACTGTTTTCCTTATTTCACACACATACAGCATATACAGTCTATGAACATATAACTACTAGTGTAAATTTTATGTAACGTTACAGTTTATATTGTCACTGTTCTGTAAAAAAAACAGTTTTTTTCTTTTTTTTTTTGTTTTGTTTAATTTTTAAATTAATGTGATGTTTCAAAATGCGGACACCTATATGGCCGTTTATGTGCCGCAATAGCAAACAGCTCATTATTTGTGGTAATTTCAAACAAGCTATCTTTGTTTCCTTGATTGGCATTGTGGTTCAAGTCATGTCAGCCTTGATCGAAATTATGACTGATTTTAGTATCTATTCGCCAGCAACTGAAAGCATTGCTCATGGAGAGACTGACTGAGCCCTTATACCGTACCTATTTATTTATTTATTTTTGTATATTGTCAATTTCTTTTTTTTTTTGTATATTGTCAATTTCTTTTTTTTTGGGTTGTTAAGTGACCCATCATGGCGTGCCAAAATGTTAAACATGGCTGAAATAACACTGAGTGTTCAGTATTATGATTATTCTCTCATAATGCGCTCCTTTAATTGTCTTCTTCCTAACATATGTCAGCGAGATGTTAAAAGACATTTGAGAAGCTGTCTGGTTAATATTAGACTTACTATTGCTTTCCAAAATTAGCTATGGTGCTGTTTAGCCTGCGGGGTCACACTTATGGATTGTAATAGACGGGTTGGCCCCGGATCCCCTCCCAGTATTCATTAATCAACCAGTCGCCGCACACTGACAGTTCACACCACAGGGCCTGATGGGAAATCAAACTGAAGGGTTGCTCGCAACAAGTTTCATAATGAGGTTGGAGCTAATAGAAGGAGTTTGTGTCGTTGCTGATTTACCTCTTGCTATGATTCAAAAGCTTAAGTGAAACCAGAATGAAAACCGATTTGCTGATGTCTTTCAGGGTCAGCGTGGGCCAAAAGGACTCCCTGTAAGTCACTTATTTGTACATTCTGACACACGTTTATTCAGGATAACTCCAAACAAACTAAGTTGTGTTGTTTTCACACTTAGGGAGAACCAGGACCTAAAGGAGAGAAGGTGAGATTCATTGTTTTTTCAACAAGACAGCTTTAACTGATCAGGTTGTAAGGACATTTCACAGAAAGTATCATTGAAACAGACCTAATGATAACTGCAATGATAATCAGCATCACCAAGCATGCAAACAAGATAATGTATCGTGATAACATTTCCTCGTTGTTTCTTCTGCCCTCAAGTGGTCAATTTCATAATGTCTGCTTGTCAAAGGCAAGCTACTAGAAAGTGCCTGTATTTTCCACCAGGATCAATCAATACATTTCCATTGAGGGGATCATCCTTCCAAGATTGTCTATTTTTGATTAACATGATCAATGTATATGTTATTTTTTATTTTGTTTTATTTTTTTTTAAATCATGAAAAATAGCTTTCAGTTTCAGTTCCATCTCTTTGTTTTGGAGAAACTGGTAAAGAACTGACTAATTTCAAAACGCACCTTTCTTGTCAGCAATATAGCCATGTAGCCATGCCCCTCTGCGTCTTCCCATGTCTTGATGGGAGTCATGGAAGGAACCGGACAATATTTGTCCATTCAAAATCATTGTGCAATCATTAGTTTCATCAGCTTCAAGTGGACATGAGTAGAGCTGTGAATATGAATTTTGGTGACTATTCGTCACCATTTTCAGACAGTAGCTGACATCAGAATGTGACAAAGCAAGCCAGGAAAAAATATTACAATGCTTGTCTCCTTACTTCAGTGATATAATCAGGCTGAGATGGGGAAAAAAAAGCAGGCCCACACCCATAAAAAATTGGCCTCATTAACTCATTCACTCCCAAAGACATATTTATATGTCTTTTCACACTACACACGTTCAACCCCAGATACCTATTTTTTTTCAATTTTTCCAAGACTTAGGGTAAAAATAAATACATAATTAATAATAAAATAGGGTCTAGAATTGGCTGGTACTGAATGAGTTAAGATGCGTTGCAAAAAAAAAAAAAAAAAAACCCCAAAAAAAAAACATTAAATCACTGCAGGGTGAATTCCAGTGCTGACATCATTTTTACATTTAGACCTATGCACCAATATTTAGCCCAATCAAGTGCCCCTTGAAAATGATCACCAAAATTGGTCTAATATTGTGTGTGTGTGTTTTTTTTTAAACATTCTCGTAAGTGACTTGCTGACAGTGTATTCCCCAGATGCACATAAAGCCTAATGAACTGATTACTACTGTATATGTTTGCATTCGAGTGTTGAAGCTTTCATGTGTTTAAACCTATTCTATTCTCTCCAGGGCGTCTGTGGAGACTACACACATCGGGTAAGAAAGCATCACGTTCAAATTTACGACGGTAAAACAATCATGCACAGTTGTTACAGTGACTTTGAAGCACTTCCACAGCTGGTAATATTTACCCCTTACAAGATGTAGAGTTGTGAATAGAAATGCCAAAGCAGAAAATTTACTTTGAGAGAGGAGAAAGTGAACAGAAGCCGGATATACAAATGACAAGTAGCTCCGTGATGTGTAACATATGCAAGTAGTTCTGCAGTTAAAATTTGGCTCTCCATCTCTTGGGTTTCACTACTTGAGAAAAAAACAAAGCAATTAGCAGCAGTCTGCTAAAACATGTACTGTAGTTGGACATGATAAGGGCCTGTGTGAGGATGTGCCAAGAAATAGATTTCTGTGAAGAGGGGGTTTTGAGGCCATTGAGTCTGGAGGTGAAATATTTCCTTGTAAATGAAGTGAGTCCAATGACATTTATGTGTTTTGCTTTATACCTAAACTGTCGCCACATGTGACAGTTTTGGTACATCCTGATGATAACTATACTGAAATCTGAGCGCATGTAAAGTTTCTTGCCGTCTGCCTCCTCCGTAACAAAAACAGAGAAAATCCTGACCGGGGGAAAAAGTGCAACATTGGTGGCAACGCCTGGAGTAGTTAACGAGCCGTTTCATATTTCCAAATGTCACACAATGTCATTTTGAAGCCCTGTTTCCAGCAAATGGCCCAGTTCGGTCCAGATCATTGTGGTCTGTGTGGTGTGCATGGCAAAAGTCAATAAGGAAAAATGATAAATGATACCACACTGTAAAGAAGGAAACAACAAAGGACCTCCGATGTTTTGTTTTTTTCTTCTTCCATGTGACTTGTTACAGGAAGGCATGTTTCGTTGAAAAAAAAAAAAAAAAAAAGGTTCCCCTCAGCTCTAACAGGCCCATTGTCACAATGAGGTTGACCATTCAGCTAAATATGTCTTGCTCAACCCTTTGGGTACCTTGGAGTACCGCTGACGTCGGTTCCCACGTGAAGGGGACTAAATTGTGGGAAAACACAAATCCATTATTTTGGTACCTTTCACCAGTGGAGACCTAGAGGTGCACCTGACGCCAGTACTCTTTGCAGCTCCTGAACAAAGGACAGGCTCAAAATCTGTTCTGCTTAGTTGGAACAGGCTTGAATAGCAATGAGTCTGCGAACACTCTTGCAAGCTTTGGCAAAGTGTCTGCAAAAATAGGGGTAATGAAGTAACATTACACACACTTTTCTAACAACTTGGAAGGGTTTAACTTCATGTGTCATCGAGATCGAGAGCTCAAGGCAAACTCCCCTCTTTATCTTTTGGCTAATGGTTTGCTGTCAACGTTGCTTGCACTGACGGAAGCGACCACTTCTCTGGCAGAGCCTATTTGTGCAGGATCTTCCCTTGAAAACCTTGGCTGCCTTGCGCTCCAGTCAGCCGCTGATGTTGAAGGTTTGTGGGTGGCCACAAACAAATTGATGGATAACATGTTTGGGTATGGGGGGGGGGGGTGTCACCAAGTCGTGCCGCAAAGAGAGACAGTGCCTTCTCAAACAAGGCACTCCTCAAGCATTTAACGTTCTCCACCAACGACAAAATAAGCACGTCTCAATCGCTTCTGCTTTTCCAAACACATGTATTTGTGCATGCATTTTATCTTGGATCTATAACCACCAGTTAGGATGAATAATTATGGTACTTAATTTGTGTACATAGTACATGTGCCAATCTCAAAACGAAATGTGAGTTTTATTTTTTTTAAACTGAAATCCTGGGGTGGAAAGCGGCAAATGGTGAGGGGTAAAACAACTTGCCTACATTGACCCCTTTCAACTTCCATGTTGTATATATTTCCAGAGACAGAGTATTAATTATGAGATCATATTATAAGTATTGGATATTGAAGTCTACTTGATTCATGTGTGACAAAGCTCAGACAGAAAAAATGACTCTCAGGTTGTATCACATGAGTCTTTTGGAAATATGTACTGTGCGGTATGCAAAATGTAGGCACGTTGCACACAACATGGTCTACTTTGGTGTCAGGGGGACAAATTAAGTTATCAGTGAGATTTTTTTTTTTTTAACTGCCATCACCTCAACTTGTATTTGATGATGCTGATCATGTCAACAGAAGCGACGTATTGTACAGCCCTGTGCTGGACAGTTGGCCACAGTAAGTCTGGATATGCACTGTAATTGTACTGCCATACTCTCTTTGGGGCAAGACTGGCGCACAACTGATCATTGCTAAACTGCAATCTAGGGGTCTGGCTCTTACAAGGTGGCTACCAAAAATAAGTCCTCAAGAAGGGATGTCTGATGATTTTTAAGCAACCAATCTATTAACTTTCAGGAGATAAATATGCCTTTAAAATTGCCTATTTGTGTACTTAAGCACAGAGGACATTGTCTAAAGCCCCTATAACCATTCCAGGCCCAGAGTTTGCTGTGACTTTCTACTTTTGACCCTGTTTAGTTTGCCTCCCTTTTATTCCTTGCTTTTCACTGTCATGTTATTTCGTATTTCTCTTTCCTTTATCCTTCCTCCCTGCCTTCAACCTCTTGTCCTACCCTCTTTCCTTTCCGTGGCCTCCTGGCGACCTTTGCCCCGTGACCCTTTTTGGCACCGTTGGCCACCTGTCTAATGTGAATTCCCCTCGGCAGATGTTGCCTATCACCGTGCGCAACATGCCCTCAATAAGCCCTCTAATCCTAAAACGCCTCAAGGTACAATTCTCTTTTCCCGCTACTTGTCACTCCCTCTCTGTTCTGCCGATGCAAGCCGTCCTCAATCATCGGCAAAACCTCCCCCCTTGCTTCAATTAACCAACTGCTCCGGTTGCTATTGCTAATGAATGTTGAACAGTTTTGAAGGCCGAAGGTCTTTTTTGTCCAGAATATTTCTGAAAGTATCATGTCATTCAATCCATCCATTTTCTCGAGCACTCTAGCACTGTCCTCATTATGGCCGCGGATGAATTGGAGCCTAGCCCAGCTGATTTTGTACATACGAGAGGTTAACTCATTGCCAGCAGACATTATCCAATCAGAATAACATTTCATTGGCCACAAAAGTTCAGAGAAAATTATAAAGGCTAGTTGATTAATGTTGGAATAGAATCGACGTAGGTGTACGAAGGACCGTTTTCATCAACCAGCACGCTTAACTTCCAACTACCATTGGACTGACGAATGATCCTTCGAATGGTACTGAAAAGAAAATCAGAGTCGGAGACTTGTCTCTTCTTTTTTTTCAGCGTAAAGAAAGCAATTCACTTTTGGCAACTGACATCTGGTCAAATTATCTGAAAGCCAATTGACATGGAACAGAAAGACGAGTGAGGTGCACGATTGAGAATGCTCAGACTATTTTGTTGCTCTTAAAAAGTATTATACTGTACAGTCATGACAGGACATCTTGAAAAAAGACAAAGAAAATAATAATGAAAAAATATGTAACAATAACAAAAATAAATACAACACTTAAAGAGGTGCTCAAGTGCTAGGATATGGACTGGAACATAAAATGAAAAAAAAAAATCAACCATTTGTTAAAACAGAACATAAAGCCATACCCTCAGGATGCTAGAGTCTCAAGCTTTCCATGTCATCCATTTATTGCTCTTACCCTTTGCAGCTATACATAAAAGACACGCATCCATAGGAGCAGGAACAGGACTGCGCCTTATCCATTGTAAAATCGTAATTTCATGAAATTTATTTCAAACAAAGACACGTCACCACACAATAATTCAAATTCTAATAAAACTCCACAAAAAGCCGCATGGGAGACAATATCACATTCACTATTCCAGTAAGAATAATAATAGTGCAAATCCGTATCACCTTGGACCTCTGTCACAGGCTGGCTTTGGTTCGCAGCCCACACCATGCCGCAACATAGTTTGCAGCTGCAGCAGTGGCTGTACTTATGAAAGAAAATCACATCATGTGTTTTGAAATACAAAATAATTGATTCCTTACTTTCACAATATTGTTTTGTCATGATAGTCATCAAAGTTGCGTGACTGGATAGCTAATTTCTTAAAATTTTGGCAGCACTACTAGTGTGTATCCAACCCCGAAAACAAGCACCAAAGACATACATCATCACAGGCTTCATTGTGTTATGATGCTCAGGGAAGGCTGAGAATAATTTGTGTTTAATGTGGATTTTCTGTATGATCTTACAAGAGAATGTGCCATTCGTCTCAAATAGAAGCGCAGTAATTACTGAAGGGAAGCCATTACTTTCCTTAAGTCAGACCAAGTGGCTCTTCAAACAGGCTCAAACCAAATGCTCATTCATTAAAAATAAATAAATAAAGTGTACTTTGTAGTACTATATATTTTGCATGCACTGCACACAACACAAAACAGAATTGCATGGCCTTATTGGTCCACTGCACCTTTGGTACTGTAGGTATAGCTCTGTCTGCGCCATTTGGAACGTTAGTGTCAATGCTTGACCCCAGTGTAAGTGACTGTCATGGCCAAAGGGACAATTAATTATAGATAATACTCATTATCGCTGGCGTCGGGTGGAATCCTCATGCCTCCACAATCACTACGTTTTCAGGGGACCCAATAATAGCCTGATAACCAGATAACATGATAAGTTCTCCTTTTTGGTGACTGCTGTCCCTGAAAGGGTTAAAGCCATTTTCAACAATTCAAAAATTTGTAAAAATAACACCAACACACGCGGACTGAACATTAGGATAGATTTATGAAAACACTATAAAATTGACCAACTTGTGACACAGGAGGTTTTGGCCCAATGCCAACTATATGCAGAGTACATGCAGCCCATCACCAAAATATCATGGGTTCTTGCTTAAAGAGTGTCATCGCTCCACAAAGTTTCAAAGATGTGTAGTTTTTATATGTTCCTAGCAACAAATAAAGCAAATCAGCAAAATAGCATTGATTGAGTACAAATTAATAGCGTTGCATACACTGTACTATTTAAGTGTTCTAACAGTGTTCCCTCTCTACTTTGCGGTTTGGTTATTGCGGATTCACTGTACAACAGAGAATATTTCCAAAAATGTCCGCGAGCTCATCTCTCCCGTTCCCTCATCGTGGGTATGTTTGGAAATACCTTCCAAGCATGCCGCTTCACTCAAGACTGTTCAGAAACTTAAAACATTGTTCAAATGTACTCTTCAGTCATTCAGAGTGCCCCAACAAAATGGAGCCCACTGCAGGCAGTACGAGCCAGATAGTACAAAGCTGCCCTCGGAAATTGAGTGGTGTGCGCTGCATCCGACAGCAAATGGGAAGACGAAACATCAGCAAATAATGATTTTCAAGTTTTTGTTAAAGCCAGTCTTAAAACAGAATCCTGTGTCGCATTGTAGCTAAAGGCAGGGATCCCCAACCGCCGGTCCGCGGACCGGTACCGGTCCGCCGGGCATTTGGTACCGGACCGCACAGAAAGAACTTGCCTTAATTCAGTTTTATTTCGGAATACGAAAGATATTTTATTTTGAAAAACTACCGGATTCTCCGTTACATCCGTCTGTGTCACGCTTGACACACGTCAAACCACGCTTCTCCATCACGTGACCGATTACCGACATCCTCCCTGTGTGAGGCGGGGGGTTTCTGCAGCAACGGCGACGAAAACAAAATTACAAAGTAGACTGGACATAAACCACACACTTGAGGTGTTATTGTCTCCTTTTACCCCGAGATGGGACCGTCTGGTTGCAGAAAATCAAGCTCGGTGCCGTGGTGAGTCGTCATTTTCATGCACTTTGAATTTGCGTTGTATCGTATTTTGAAGGCATTAAACATTACCATAGCGATCGGAGTGATGCGGCCAGATTAGACGCTCCTTGTGTTTATTATTATATTTCGAAAACACCACAGTTTTCATGCAGCTCATACCATATTAATTTCTTGTATTATTTCCACCACACCTTAAATGCCGGTCCCTGAAAATATTGTCTGACATAAACCGGTCCGTGGGGCAAAAAAGGTTGGGGGCCCCTGGCTAAAGGTACAATCCTGATGGAATAATGCACCTTTTCAAAGCCTTGTTGTTGTTGTTGTTGTTGTTATTGCTGTTATGTAAAGCAAAAGTCAGTTTCCATCAATTGTTTCTTCTTCGTCGTAAAGAAGACCAAGCAACAGGAGTCTTCGCAAATTTCACTTTGTACAACAACAACGAGGATTTAAAAGGCGCTTTAATCCACCTGGATTGTTTCTTTGGATTAAATGCAACGCAGGATTCAAGTTAAGGGAAGCCATTTTCGAATAAAAAGAAAACAATTTCCCTTGTCATTGGCCAACGTTCCGCCTTGGTCGTCTGCTGCCGGGGGGCCAAGCGTGCGTCGCCCACATACATTTTTAATGCAGCCTGTGTTTATTTTTCATTTCGCATCTTAAAAGTTAAGTTCAAAGTGTAATAAGGAGGCTGGGAACCAAGTGTGTGGGTTTGTAACGGCTTAATAGAGGCATAAATCCCCACAAACTTAAAATTATAAAAAGATACAGTGTGTAATTATATACATTTCAGAGAGTGAAGTTGCAGTTGTAAGCCACCTTTAACATATCGCTGTTGCAACCAATTAACCTTTAATTCAGTAGAAATGCTTTCAATTGCTCTGCCACATACCGCAAGCACCCAACTAGACTTGAAATTGGTCCACATAAAATTGAATTGCAATGGTCTTAAAACACACAGTTGCCTGCCATTTTAGGACAGAGTTGCAAAGCTTTACATGCAATCTGTGTTCTTCTCCCCAAAATTGACAAGCGAGTCTCAAAATTTGAATATTTTAACACTGATTCACCAAGGACAAGAACGCACCTTCAGTCTGTCATAATTAACCGCTTGCTCTGCACCCCAGCTAACCTACCAATGTGCAGGATTTATGTTGTCGTTTGAATTTGTTGTGCTGGCATGGCCAATGTGGTGAGGCCCCCTCCACCATGACGGATTGTAACTCAATGTCTCTCAGCAGGGCGAGCCAGGCGCGCAGGGGCCCCCAGGACCACCAGGGCCTCCGGGTCTGCCAGGCAACCCAGGTCTGAATGGTGCCAGCGGCTCACCGGTAAGTAGAAAATACAAATCTTCGCTAAAAAAAATAAGAACATGCATTCTCTTTGTGTTGTTATGAAGGTTATTTGAGCTTGTAGTTTTATTTTTAAAATTGTTTGTTGCATACCGTGTCTGATTACCCTCAAATGGGGGTCGGCAACACGCGGCTCTCGAGCCGCATGCGGCTCTTTAGTGCCCCCGAGGGGCTCCCTAGAGCTTTTTCAAAAATGTTTGAAAATGGAAAAAGATGGGAGGGAAATATATATTTTTTTTTGTTTTAATGTGGTTTCTGTCAGAGGACAAACATGACACAAACATTATTAACGTTTTCCGATGCTGTAAAAAGGTGTTGAATAAATATTAAATGTCAACATTTCGTCAACGAATATTCGCGTCATAGCCTGCGACCCATTTCTATTTGCGGGGGTGATGTCACCCAGGTGGCTGTTGTAAAAAAAAAAAAAAAAACAAAACAGCTGCCTTTCATGTACAATTCACTGAGGGTACTTGCTAAGAATTGGAAATTCACCGAGGGTACTTGCTAAGAATGGGAATCTGGGTGGCCAAGAGAACCATTTTTAAACAGTAAATGTGAGCTACGATAGTTCGCTCGCTGCGAAAGTGCGTCCCGTGCCTCGTTCATCTTAGTGGCCATTATCGCTGTTGCTCATTACGGCATGCGTGTGGAAGTGTGTGTGTATTGTCCAGGGAAACCAAGACAACAAAAGTATTCATAAAAAGTGATGAGATTTGTTTGAAAAAGAAAAAGAAAAGTAAAAAACATGGAAGGACACCGTTCACAGATCTGTCAAGGGAGCCTTCTCCCCCTTCGTGTCTTGCGCTCTCATTTTATCTTGTTGGGAGGTGGTGAAGGTCCGCGCAATCAGCATTTTGAGCAGCTACACAGAGTAGAGACTAGTGCATGTGCAGACAACTTTGCTTATCCGCAAAATAACTGGTCAGCATTCAATAGTACGAACAGTTACTTCCATTTAGTGCTGTTATATGTCAACTTCTCATTACATGTACATATGCGTGCGTGGGCGGGAACGGGACGATCTTGTAGGTAAGTTGGTTGTTCGAAAAGTAGATCTTCCGTCAAAAAAGTTTGGGCACCCCTCCTCTACAAGATGAACTGCAGGGGAAAAAAACTGTTAATTACGAATGCTCGTTGTGTATTTGTAGCCAAATTAGTTATGTTGTTAGCAGGCTAATATTGCTGATATAGATACATACATCATATGTTGCCTTCATGAAAAGGCATGTATGTAGGCTTGCCCTTGAATGCAACTCTGAGGCCAGCCAATGACAAACATTTGAGGGCGGGATTAATGGGTGCACGGAGTAGGCAGAAGTTAAAGAAATTCCAGAACACATTTGACAAAATATAAATGATACTCCATTATTTGGTGGTATTATGAACTGAAAAAAAAGAAGAAAAAAATAAAAGAGTCTCTAACTTAAAGCAAAATATTGTACAAGTCGTGCTCACTTCGCAAAAATTGCAACAAGCATGCCAAAACGCAAACGTTACGTTTCACCAAAATATCCATTCATCCATTTTCCGATCCGCTTATCCTCACAAGATTCGCGGGGGGTGCTGGAGCCTGTCCCAACTATCTTCGGCAATAGGCGGGGGACACCCTGAACCCGTTGCCAGCCAATTGCAAGGCACACAGAGACGAACAACCATCCACGCTCACACTCACACTAAGGGACAATTTAGAGTGGTCAATCAGCCTGTCATGCATTTTTTTGGAATGTGGGAGGAAACCGGAGTACCCAGAGAAAACCCACGCAGGCCCGAGGAGAACATGTAAACTTCAGACAGGGAGGCCGTAGCTGGAATTGAACCTCATACCTCTGCACTGTGAGGTCGACGCGCTAACCACTGGACCACCGGCCGCCCCTCCACCAAAATGTTAGCGAAGAAAACAATTAACCTGCTTCATTGATGGAGTTCCATTTAATTTTCATGTATTTCGTGTCACTCACCATTAAAGGTGCCTCTCTCACATGGACTTACAAGACACAAAAAATGAACAGCCGTCACCTGCGTTGCAGCAAAGCACTTTACAAAATCTGAGCCAAATATCGTGAATTATACTAGAACAAATACTTTTCGGTCTCCTGAAACAAACAAATATATTGCAACTTCAGACAATTTGCAACATAATTGTCTCAATAAAACAGAAAATGCAGTTCATTTTCATGATCATAAAAGTGACTCAAACAACTGGTCCACTCCTCTGGGATATATTATATATAACATAGTTTATGTAGGTGACATATTTATACAGTTCTATGTTGCCGTCTTAATGTATATCTAATGATAATTTGCCTTCAGGGTAAGCCTGGTGAACCAGGAAAACCTGGAAAAGACCCAAGGGTGAGCTTTGATTCAGTCTCCTCTTCCCCACTAGTTCTTCTTTCTCAAGTGAAACTGTGGATGTGACACTAACTATGAAATATTTGGACTCATTCTACAGCTCTTACAAGGACTGAAGGTAAAAAAAATAAATTAAAATCTCAACATTTCCAGAATGTTGAAAAAGGTCAGGTGTGAACATGTGGCCTCATATGTTGATGACTAAATTATTGGCAAGTCACCGAAAGCACACATTGTCATCCACTATTATTGGTTTATTTGATATTCTGCTTCCAGGGAGAGCCAGGTTTACCAGGACAGAAGGTGAGTTCCTTTTTTATGTCCATACATTTGTATTTGATAAGATGAAAACAAACGGGTGTTTTATATACTGCATGTGTGCTTCTTCACAGGGTGATCGAGGTGATGTTGGTCCAACAGGTCCCGAAGGCCCAAAGGTACACAGACCTTATTCTTAACCCATTTCAAACACTAGTAGTCTTGAACAGTCATTCCCAACCAGTGTGCCGTGGCACATTAGTGTGCCGTGAGAGATCATTAGGTGTGCCGCAGGAAATTATCTGTCCATTATTTGGAGACACACACACACACAGAGACACACACACACACACACACACACACACACACACACACGCACACACAGAGCTCTCTCTCTCCCGCACACTCTCTCTCTCTCTGTCTCTCTCTCTCTCTCTCTCGAGAGAGAGAGAGTGTGGGTGTGTGTGGGTGTGTGTGGGTGTGTGTGGGTGTGTGTGGGTGTGTGTGGGTGTGTGTGGGTGTGTGTGGGTGTGTGTGGGTGTGTGTGGGTGTGTGTGGGTGTGTGTGGGTGTGTGTGGGTGTGTGTGTGTGAGAGAGAGAGAGAGAGAGAGAGAGAGAGAGTGTGATAGTTTGTGTTGCACGGCTGTATCCAGAATAGAGTACAGGGTGGTCTATATATTTTTTTCATTCATTCATCAGAATAACACTGATGAAAAGCCCCATTTTATAACTATCTATCCAATGACTGTACTTAAGTGAATTTCCACGCTGTTGGATCAATACTCTAATTCCTCTTCTTTACTGCTTTTGGTTAGTAGGGTTTTGGTGTATGAAACGAGTGACTCTGTCAGAAATATAAACTAAAAGGAGCCATTCTCCTGAGTGTCCTATGATACTATGGCTTTATTGTTCCATCCCTTTCTCAGGGAGACGAAGGGAAGAGGGGTTTTGCAGCAGAAAAAGGGGAGAAGGTAAAATAACAGCCGAGAAAGCCCTTAGGAGTGTGTATAATGGGCTAGCATACTTTAATCCTGCACGGCTGGTTGACGCATATCTTGAAATGCGTTTAATTCATGTGCTGTTGATATGAATATGAATTCAAAACCACCAAAAACAAAGGCAATTACTCCTTTTAGTTCAAGCATGATAACAGAAGGAATGTACAGTACTTTGGTGTTTTAACAAAGAAACCTTGTGTCATTTACCCATGCAATCACTCTTGCAATATGGAAACAAGACTTTTCTGCTGGTAATCCATTGTGGTGCTGTATTGATTACCTAAAGCTAGAATACAACGTGATGGGATGTAACAAAACGCAGACAAGTACACTCTAGCTTGCCTTCGGACAAAAGGGGACAGAATGTGCACTGGTCATAGCATAGTGTGACAAAACTTTAAAGGGCCATGAGCTGCTGAGGAAAAACATCCTTCCCCTCCCACTATTAGGGGCGTGCAGAAGGAGTGGATAATCTGTATGTAAACTCGGCATGTCTCATCATATGACTTTTAAGAGGACATGTAGCCCACTCGCAACTACTTGCCTCTGTGATGCATTTAAAGAGTGAGTGAATGGTTCTGAGAAAATATTGTCCAACTGGATGGTCACGCACTGACCCACTTCAAGAGTCCATATTTTTTCTTCCCTTTACAACCACCTTCCAGATTTCACTACTTACAATATTGCAGGACGTACTGCAGAGATAAAATAAACAAACTTGTCTGAGATTTATGCTGTCATTCGTGTGTGAATGTATTTTGAGTGGTGAAAAATAGCCATCGCCACCACTTGCTCTTCGTGACATGCCAACACACTCAAGTATTCAAATAGCCCTTTATACCGAACCTTAAATTAAATCTGTTTCAAAAACAGCTTTTACCAATAAACTGCCAGAATGTCAATACAACATACCATATTTTCCGCACGATAATTCACAGTTTTTTTTCATAGTTTGGCCGGGGGTGCAATTTATACTCTGGAGCGATTTATGCATGAAATTATTAATATGTCATTTCACATGTTATTTTCACATTAAACCGCAAGAAGGTGCTCTAAGGCAGG